AAATAAAATGATAATTTTATGTTTTGTGTATTCTGTCATAATAAACAAACTGCAAATAAGCAAACAGACCAACCACAGGACAGTGCGTGGGAAATGATTAGGTCTCTGGGAGTGACATCTCTAAGAGGAATTAATGTTCATCTCCAGGAAGTAGGTTAGATTTCATGGGAACGGGCTACTTCAAGTGTGATCAGATTGTTTTAAAGAATATTTAACTTTCTGTTTTGGAACAAATAAGGTCTCAAGTCTTTATCTACCTTTATCCCTTTATCTTGCTTCTAGATTTTGTGTGGAAAAGACATGAAAAGAAAATAGCAACTCCTAGATCGCAGGCACATTTTAGATCTTTCTCTTACCTATCTCTTCCTTAGCATCTGCCCACTTCTCAATAAGATCCTAATAGAAGGGCTTGGGTTGGCAGCACCATAACCCTAATACCCGGACCAGAACGTGGCACATGGCAGGTACTCATAGTTGCTGAGTGCAGGAATGAATGATAGATCTCTCAGTGACTTTGCTAATTCTGCCTCCCACTCAAGGCCTAGTTAAAAGTCAATGTTAAGTTTCATGTCTACCTCACTTTTCATCCCCCAAAGCCCTCCTTAGTATGTGCTTTTAGGTTACCCTATTATTTTTCCATTAAACTAACTGTTCCCTAAAGTGAGCAAGACCTTTCAGAACCCAGGTTGTCTCCTTTGACTCCCTGTGAACACCATAAACTCTTATCACCCTGGTGAGCAATCATAGTGGTTGGGATTGTAATGGTGAAAAATTAACATGTATGAGACAGTTGAATAGCTAACATTTATGGGACAGTTGACAAATTCAAGGTCTTAATTAAGAAGGTGACATGTATTATCTTATTGAACCCTCATTATATCCTTTGACATAGATCTTATAATTCTCACCATTTTACAGATGAAACACACTGAGAACGAGTGGTTCAGTGAAATAGCCAGAGGCACACACACTTCTTTCTGCTTCTCCAACTTCAAACTCCTTTGTACTTTGCAGCCTGAAAGTTCCCTTCCACTGACTGCATAAAATATAACATATATGCAATATATGTACACCTCTTATTATAACAAGCCTATATAGTACCACCATAGCTCCCTACTACAACCATATTGTCTGTACCATAGAACCAACACTCACTTTGCATTTAATTGAATACCATTTTTCATGTAGATCTGGAAGAGCTCACTTGGTTCATGAAGCTGCTCTCCACTTCCCCCCTTACGGCCTCTACCATGCTGTGCTAACTAACCAACTTCCTTTGAAAGAACATGGCCCTTCCAGAAAGCCTTACGCTGTGTGAATTTTGGCTGGACTCCATGCAAGATCAGTATTTTATACTTAATCGTCTTCTAGATGGAGCAACAGGGATCAGGGGGATTTATGCGAAGTATTTTCCTGGAGCCTGACCTTTCTCTCATGTTTATCATTTATTTATAATCCAGTATCGTCAGTGACACATCATGGGGCCTCCAGTCATGTGATGCTCTTCGGTAACTCCTCATGGTGGGAGTGGATGTTTTTGGCAAAGAAAGGAAAGGGATTATGGCAACTGTGAACTTTGATGTCTCTGGCAGCTCAGGGGATAACTTCTCAGTGACCTGTTGCTGTGACCCACTCCTAACCACCTTCTGTGAGCAGATTCTGCTTCCCTGTGGGCAGTTTTCTCATGGCTTCTACATCCTTGGGCCTGCTTCCCTGTGCTGTTTTTCTGCTGGTAGCTGATTCTTTAATCCAGATTAGAGATGGACAGGGCACTAGAGGGGGAAAGAAATTTTAGTCCTATAGAAATCATTGTGAAAACAAAACAGCCTGTAGTGTTGCAGCAACTCTGCAGAGCACCTATGGAATGGCCTCATCAGTCACCTCCCCCCAAACAGTGGCATTTTATGTGGATTAATCCTTACCTGGAGGATACATGCATTTTCTGCTTTTACCATGTCTACTTCTCATGACTTGACATCTATTCCCACTGCTCTGTGGCATTCATAAGATCGAATGATACCATAACCAGATATCTTCGCATTGCTAAACCTGTTGTCTCATCAAAACTTTCTCCCTTGCACTCTCCCCAAGATCCAAGACCACCTAACAAAAACCCAATACCTGTAACACTATTCGGAAGTGTGACCTTGTTAGAGCAGATGTGGCCTTGTTGGAGGAAGTGTGTGGGGACACCAGACCTTGAGCAGAAACCCACTTCCCCTTCGGCCTGGGAGCAGGCAGCTGTGTAATGTTTACTGAAAACAATTCAGTGCTTTAAAGCTCTTGATAGGGCTCAGATAAGGGCTCACTCACTGAGATACCATGACTTTCACACCCCCTACGGCTAGATGCCTCTTCCTGTCCCCCCTGCGGTGTCTCCCCGATTCTGGGGCTGGAGATTAAACCACCAGCCAGGAGGGTGAGAAGTCTGGAAAGAATGGTATGTAGATGGATGGCAGAAGTCCTTAAAAAGGGAAGCTCTTTTTTCTTGGAGAGACTTCTCCTGAGAGCTCTCTCCTAAGCGGACTGGGGTCTCCTCCTAAGCTGACTTGGGAAGCATAAAGTTTTCTTAAAGCAACTGACCGGTCTCTGTGTCATCTATCCCGACCACCTCGCTACATTCTCGGATGCAGTCCGCACAGCAGGTGCGACAGAAGTGTGCCACTGGGAGTAGACTTTCAGGTTTCAAGTGCTCAAACCAGGCTCAGTGTCATGCTAGCTGTGGAATATTTAATGATGTAAAGATGTGTTACATTTAGTTATGCTGTATTTGTTTAATTATGTGAAGATGCATTGCTATTTTACCTTGCCTGCCTAAGGCATCTGATTGGTCTAATAAAAAGCTGACTGGGCAGAAGCTTGGCAGGAGAGGCATAGGCAGGGCTGGCAGGCAGAGAGAATAAGTTGGAGGAGACATCTAGGCTTATAGAAGAGAGGAGTGAAGAGAATGAGGAGAAAAAGAGGAACTCACCTGGGCCCAGAAACCAGGCAACTGCCAGACAGATAGACATAGAGACAGCTGGAAGGGAAAAATACAGAAATAAAGAGAAGCGAAAAGCAATGAGGCAAAATGTAGATGAAGAGAAACAGGCTAATTTAAGTTAAAGAGAAAATGCTGGCTAGAGATGAGCATAAGCTAAGGCCAAGCATTCATAACTAATAAGAAGTCTCTGTGCCATGATTTGGGAACTGGTTGGTGGCCCAACAGAAAGCCAGGTGCACACTCCCTTCCTGCTGTCTGCAGATCCAGACGTAGAACTCTCAGCTACTTCTCTAGCATCATGTCTGCCTACATGCCCCCATGCTTCCTGCTATGGTGATAATGAACTAAACTCCTGAAAGTGTAAGCTGGCCCCAAATAACTGTTTTCTCCTTTATACGATTGCCATGGTCATGGTGTCTCTTCCCAGCAAGAGAACAATGACGAAGACAGACTCTTAGTATGTATTTATCATAACCTTAATTAGGACTGGCTTTCAGGCTAGACCAGCTAGCCCAGGAAACTTCCTTACTTTAGCAGCGTGTCTGATAAGATAAATTTCAGTGCCTTTCATTTCATGTGGCCCCAGCCCTGTCAGTCAGCCTGCCCATCACCGTTCCTCAGTCTTTCTCAACCACAGTCAAAAGACTTTATTTTCTTCAGCACTGGAGAGTAAGCTGGAGCTGTGACACACCAGTGCTGCATATACATGCATTTTACAAAGGATGGCACTGTTGCACATAATCAATGCATATACATCCATGTTGGCAAACACACACACACACATACACGCACACGCACACGCACACACACAAGTAAAATTAACTTAAAACTAATTTCCCATCAAAGATTCATCAGTTAAAGTCATGATGCCATGATGGCCATGCCTGTAATCTCTACTTTTGGGGAATGTAGCAGAAGGATCATGAGTTCAAGTCTGACCCGGAACATGTAGCAAAACATAGCCTCAGAAAATCTAAAGCATTTGTCTAGCATGTTTACAGCTTACTGTTGAATCCCCAGCCCAAAATAAAAATTATAAGTCATAGTTACAAAGATGACAGTTTTACCTGGTGGTTGAAGTCAATAGCATCAACAGATACAACTCTTGCCAAAAGATTTTTCTTAGAACAACAATGTAAATCTGAAATGAGACCTGAAGTGATATCACAGCATCATGTCAGTGTTAATTTTCTGGTTTGAGGGTTATGCATTGATTTTCTGTATGTGTTTGCCTATGTGTATGTATGTATATAATGTGTGTGCCTGGTGCCTGCAGAGGCCAGAAAAGGGCCTTAGATTCCTGGAACTTAGATGGTTATCAGCTGCCATGTGAGCCCTGGGAACCACACCTGGTTTCTCTGCAATAACATCAAGTGCTCTTAACCACTGAGCCTTCTTTCCAGCTTCTTGATTGGGGAATTACTTTGTGACACTGTAAATATTCTGTTCACCACCAAACTTTCAGTGTATTCACTTATTTATGTCTATATGCACAAGGCTCCTATTTTATCTAATAGATTATGCCGTATATTGTTACATACTATGTTTAAGTTTGCTAAAATTTAACTTCCGAGCATCCTTCAGACTGGTTTCTATGTCCTTTGCCTCGTTCCATGATTCTTTGCCCTACTGAACATCTGACACAGTAATTTGTTCAGGCTCCTTACTTACTTATCCCACCAAGCTCTGAAATAAGCCATTCTCCCATGGAATCCTGGTTTGTTCTAGTGAAACCAAGTACACTTAAGATAACAAAATCTGGGTTCTGGATGAGTTTACTGCTGTTAGGGAACTAATCTACCTTTTCAACAGTAGAGATACAAGATCTACATACAAACTCACACATAGCAATAACCATTTGGTAACTGTGATCTTAATGCTAGATGTTAATCTGATAGGCCACTGGGTGTGCAGATATTTGGTGGAACAATGCTCTGGGTGTGTCTGTGAGGATTTGGGGATGAGCTTTCCTTACAAATTGGTAGACTGAGTGAATACCGTTGCTTTTGCAGTCATGATCCGGCTCACTGTGTCTTTTGAAGATCTGCATAGAATGAAATCCCTCAGAAGGTTCTAGAGGATTTGCTCTCTCTGCGTCTGTGAGTTGCTCATCAGTGACTTGACCTCAGATTCAGACTGCAGCTGTACCACCCTCAACTCTCCGGGGTCTCGGGCTTGCCGATAGCGCCGTGTTGGGACTGTTCAGAACCATATCTGTGTAAGCCAATATCTCCCAATAAACTATCTGCTCGCCTGTCTGTCTGTCTCTTTGTGTGTCACCTAGCCTCTCCTGTCTAGCCTGGGAAACCCAGAACAATCCAGAAGCCCAGGGAAAAGGCAAGTTTCCTTAATTCTCAATGTATTTGTTTGTTTGCCTTTTACTGCTGTATGCTAATTTCCTGCCACTGCCACTGTCCATCTGCCCTGCAAGCAGCCAGGCTCAATTTTCAGAGAATCTGGAAATCTGTACTAAGTTATAGATTTGTGTACCAGGTTTTTTCTTTTTGGCCACCAACTAGTGCCCAAATCATGACATGGAAACTTCTTATTAGTTTTGAATGCTCGGTCTAGCTTAGGTTTGTTTCTGGCTAGCTCTTTAACTTAAATTAGCCTGTTTCTCTTTATCTACCTTTTGCCTTGGGGCCTTTTACTTTTCTTCTGTATGTCTTACTTTCATGGCTTCTTGTGTTTGTTTGTCTGGCAGCTGCCTGGCTTCTTGACCTGGGTGTGTCTCTCTCTTTCTTCCTCGTTCTTTTTTCCTATTAATTCTCTCTGTCCAGCAGCCCCACCTATCTCTCTACTGCCTAGCTACTGGCAGTTCAGCTTTTTTATGAGATCAATCAGGTGCCTTTGGCAGGCAAGATGAAACAAATGCAACACATCTTTACATAATTAAGCAGATGCAGCACAAACAAATGCAATACATCTTTACATCATTAACAAAGGCAGCAGAGAGACAAATGTAACACAACTTCTGGCAGTTAAAGTAATATTCCGCAGCATAAATGAATGAAACATACCTTTGCTTCATTAAAATAATATTCCACAATATGCTTGTACACATGACTTCTTGCCCAAGGTGGACCACAAGGCCCTCAGAAGGCTCAGGATACCCTTGTGCTAACACTTGTCTTCCCGAAGTCTGGCTCCTGTTCCTACACCTGCTCAACTCTACCAGGGCAATAGAGACTGTGGGATGAAGGAGGAATTTAGTTTTCCTTTTCAAACCCCATTTCTTCCTTCACATCCATTTATTTGCTGTTACCAATCCTGCATCCTATAGGCTCTTTAAAATCCTCATGTCTGAAACTACCCACACATTCCCTGAGAAGAAATCTATCTTCACTTTTTTGAGACAGCTTGTAAGAAGGTAAGTCCTTAATTCTTCCCCGAGGAAAAACTGGTCCTATGCTTCAATGACACTAAGCCTGCACATTTCCTTTGGCCCACAAATTATACTTTTAAAAATTCATTTAAAAGAAATAAAGAAGCACGAAGATATCCAACTTCAATGAGGTTAATTGAAACCATGATCAGAATTACACCCAATCCTTGCAATCAGGGAGTATATAAATTATGATAAATTCGCAAAATAGAGTTCTGATCTGTGAGTAAAATGATGCCGAGTTAAAATGGCTACAGCAGAAAGATGTTTAGTTTATACGGCTGAGTGAAAAAAATAGCTATAAAATGGAAAGTTTCCAGTTTGCGATTAAACTATTAAAAAGACATCGCAGTGAGACCCTGGGGTTAACACCAAAAGAGAATGACCACAGTGAGACTATGGACATTTGCTTTTCTTTTCCTTAAGAGTATTTTCAGATTTTTCTTCAAATAAGCTTAATATTTGTACAAGAATATGATCACACACACACATACATAAAAACATGTTCATGCTTTACTGTGCTATTTCCGTCTAGGCATTCTTGAAGTATTGAACCCCTTGACTAGACACTGTCAGCATCATCTTTGCAGTTCCCAGGGTCCTGGGGAGTTTATCTCTCAGTGTTCCCTGGAGTGTCCTTTTCTCTCTGCTTCAGCGTTGCATCTCAGGTCTTGTCTACTTATAGCTGTACTACGGCAGTGGCTGTTTTGACTGATCCAAGCATCAAGATGGATGCACAGGGCAGCTCTGTGATTACTCTGCTTCCTGGCATAAACTCTCAAGGCTCCCTATTCTGAGTTAAGGCTGGAGTTCTTGGTCCAGCTGTGTATCACTTGGTCCCTCTTGTTACCTTATAGTACTTCCATGGCAAGTCTGCCTCTGCAGACTCTTCAAAATTCATTCTCATTTGAACTGTGGTTTCCTGTGTCCGAGTTGTGTCTTACCACTGGCCATTCTGGAATTGCCTTTTCTTTTTATCCTTGCTTCTGCCTCATTCTTCAATATCTTATTCAAGGGTCATCTCTTCTTGAATGTCTCTCCTGATGTTTCCCACCTGTCTAGCTCAATATATATATATTCACACACACACACACACACACACACACACACACCTACCATTCTATTTTACAGGTCACATTCAGCACCCTTTTCTTTCACTTGGGTCAGATGTCTTCCCTCGGTACAGTGCATGCATTTTCTCCCTTGCCCACACCATAGTGCACTGAAACTTCACAGTTTGCATTATGCTATTGCTCTAGCCATAAAATTCCCCAAACCTGTCTATGCAGTGCCTGGGCATGACAACTATTAGACACTATGGTAATTTTCTTGTAGTTATGACAAAAATACCTCATGTAAACAATTTAAGGGAAGGAAGATGGGTTTTGGCTCACAGTTTTAAATGTTTGGGCTCACAGTCCTGGCCTTCATCAACAGTAAGGTAGCTAGTGAGGGGAGCTACTGGAGGAGGAGGCTGCTCACAACATGGCAGGAAGCAGAGCAAGGAAGCAACTAGGGACTGGTATAACCTTCAGTGACATGTCCTTAGTGACTCATTTCTTCCAACTGGCCCCTACTTCCTAAGGGTTCTAGAAGTTCCCAAAATAGCACTAGCAACTGGGATTAAACATTTATCCCGTGAACCTTTGGGTGACATTTCATATTCAGGCACTTAACGAATAATGGAAGGGAGAAACCTCAGAAGTATCAGAGGCTGGACTGGAAGTCAGAGTTTCTTGTCTGAATCTCACGTTCTTTCACTGACGACCCCCAAAGTCACAGACACATGGAGTCACTTTTGCAGGTTGTCAGCTAATGTCTCATGGCCTTAGACTGACCCCGAGAATGAGATTTATTTCCTAGTGTTACAAAAGCTTTAGGCTCTAGCTCATCTCAAAGGAGTTGCACAAAGAGAGACCAAAAGACTCAGAAAACAGTAGGGATGTGGAATGCTTGGGGCTGCAAGTGAGACCCTCAAAGACCCCTTTTCAACTCAAACAGAAATTGTTTTATGAAGCTCAGTAAAAAGAGGGGCTTAAAAGTATGGCATTAACATAGTCTCTAGGCTGTGTTTATTGAAACAATCTTAGGTCCATAATCAAAACAATGTTTTATCATTTCCCCTGCAGGCTGGTCACAGGCTACAAACTGGATCATTTGACACATCTCATATGCACTTGAAACCCAAATTGAAATTCTGCCATTTTTACTATATGAAGAAAAATAATTTTACAAAGACTCCCCCAATACATACATATATGTGCATATTTATTTGTTTGTGTATGTGTTTGTACATGTGTGAGCATGTGTGCGTGTGTGTATTTTCTTTCTGAGTCATCCTTTTGATATTTTACTTGGACCAAAACTCAAATTCACTTGGTTTTCTCCAAGCACTTATTTGGGCTATTTCCATTATTGTTCTTGGAAATATTTTTTCCTTTTGACATACTGTACGTTCAAAATGCAACTTGATCACCACCATCAGAGGCCACAGCATTACTCCCTCATGGGTTATCAGGAGTAACTCTGACATATAATGTCTCCAGGTAGGTTGATCAGCTGCTCAGTTTTGCAGTGTTTAGGATTGTGTGCATGTGTATGTGTGTGTTTCACATCTTCTACGGAAAGGCTGGGTGTATTTTTTTAGAGGGTTTGGAGAATTTCTACAGTTTGTTTGCTGATAAAGCAAATGTTACAATATGCTTTGGGAAGACATGTGTTGGTACGTTTTTCTTTATTGGAGTGTGTGTTCTAAGTCTAGGGGACAACACAGGGAGGGACTGTGCATCCTGTGATATGGCTAGAGATAGCTATTAGGAGAATATGTCAAATCATCAAAACTGGTAAAATTTTACCAAATTTTCCTTGTTTCGTTGATGTTACAGGTTATACTTTTCAGCAAGGTCCAGGAGATGGGACATCACATTCAGGGCATAAGGGGGGAGAACGGAGCCAGGTCTGCATCCAAAGGGTGCTGGACCACCAGCCTCCCTGTCTTTGTGTGAATGTGGTGGTTTCACCACCAGCAGCAGCAGCAGCTAATCTTTGCTCCTTCACATGGCCATTCCAGCCTGGCTCTGTCCACACACACTGTGTCTTAACTCATCACATTGTATTTTATCTCTGGATTTTCATGCCTCTGCTTGTCTGTAAACTCCACCTTTCTTATTTTTGATGACTCTTCTTTCTTGACCTTCCATTCTCCTCCAAGCTCCACTTTTCAAGGTCTGTGTTATCAACATGGACCTTGAGAAGTAGAGAAGATAGAAATATAAGCAGATGCAATTATAATTTCTTGGAAGATGTCACATTCCTTTAATGCATATTCTGCTTAATACACAAGGGGAAAATCAGAGCCTATTGAGCAATGATGTTGCCTCTGGTTTATTGCAGTTGATTAATAAATGTTGCAGCTGGAGGCAATGACCGCATGAACCTTAAGTTTCTCCCATCGCTGAGATTCTATGGCTTGTAGAATATTACAGCTGCAGTGTTTAAAAATATGTGTTCTGTACAACCATGGGTACTATATTTGTCTGTTAATTGTAGCAATAGGCTATGATTGCACGTCCTAGCTAGTCCTTGCCCTTTCTAAAAGGAAGAAAGTCAAGCTTCATTCTAAACTCTGTACCAGAACACAAGTTGAGAATGACCTTAGAGAAGACCCTGGTCTTCTGGCTCAGTGAAGTTTCAATCAGAACTCTCTAGTTCTAAGATACAATGGGTAGTGGCCTTATAAGTGTCAGAATTCCCTTCAGTTCTTGGAGGACATCCTTCCTACGATGTTACACCAGAATGTAAGTTGCTGCCTGCTGTCTGTCAGGAGTAGGGATCTTGTCTTGATTAGCATCTGAGTAGGTGCAGTTGTTAACTACATGGATCATCTCTCTAGACCACAGTTCTCAGATAGTTGGTTAGGTACCAGTGTGAAATGTCACAAAGATATTTTTTTGGGTGAGACTAACATTTAAATCATTGGATATTGAATATGTCATCCTCCATATGTGGAAGGTCCTTATCTAAACAGATGAAAGCTGGAAGAGGAAACAGATTGACGTTTCCCAAGCATGAAGCAAATTTTGTCTCCAGATTTCCTCTGATACAAGTTTACAATAGTAACTTTCCTCCTGTCTCCAGACAGATCAGTTTCTATAGTCAGGCAAGCCAATTCTGAAAAATCTATCAATTAGTTTCCTCCTCTCTCCCCCTCTCCCTGCACCTTCATTTTTTGATTTATGGTTTTGTTTCTCTGAAAAAAATCATCACTATTAACATAAAGAAACAGTTTAGGATCAGCGGATACTCTTAACTGCCTTGTTTAGTTTATTCCTGCCACCAGATCTTTGCTGCATCTCAGTATATATCTAAGACTGATTTACCCCTGGGTTGGTAACTATATTGGTGACCGAGATACTCAAACCATCTTGGTATGTATGAAACCTATGGGCTTCTTGGACATGGAGTTTTAAGTGCTAAAGTTAGGAAACCAAAGTAAGTTATCCAACCTCCCTCATTTTAATCATTTGGACTTCTAGTATCTAATATTCTCAGCCATCTAGTATTTCTGAAAGCATTGAAAAGAGCACCTCCAGTAGACGTACTGAGAAGCGCCTATGTCTCCAGCCCATGGGTCTTGGTTATTGATGCAGTAAGTGTGTAATCACCATTGTGAGCATGCCATTTTAAGGCCCCAGTACTGCATCCAAGAACCACTCAGAGCTTTACATAAACATATTCTCCTAATGTCCCCAAAGTACTCTAATTATCAGGGTGATTCCTGCCAGGAAGTACATTACACTCTGGCTGTGGAGTAGCACTCAGATTCTAAACATTGACTGCAACAAAACTCAGACTGCTTGGGAGCCACAGCCCTGTGCTCAGAGGACAAGTTCTGAACTCTGCCTTGTCAAGTGCTGATGCTCAGTGACTTCCCATTTTCTAGCTCCTTCATCTTTGTCTGTTCCCACCCCTGATGGATTCTTGGATGTTCAGTAATAGCTATTAATGGAAGGGAATGGATGCCTGTGGTCGTAGGAGCAAAGGCAATTGCATGTGTGTATTCGTGTACATGCGTGTTCTCCCAGCCCTCATGTTCATGTAGTAGATACAGTCTCCGGTTCTTTCTTTGCTCCTTGGCCTATGGTTAGCTTCCAAGAGGAATGCTGATGCTTACTCAGATCCTTTAATGGAATCAAGATAAAGTCAAGCTTCACCTTTTGCCAAATTTTTTTGGATTCTCAGCTGGCCAGTGTAAGACTACAATGGAGAGAGTTGGGTATGACAGCATGAGCATCCCCTTGTACAATTACCCCAATGCAAGCTCCCAAGCCCTGGAACCCTTACAGCCAATTTGTTTCATGTGACAAGTAGGTTTAGATAAGAGAAGTAGCATATTGGGGATTACTGCTATTTGTCACAACCTAACTTCAGTGCTCAGGAGAGCCACACCCATGTACCTTGCACAACTATAGCGGCTGCCTCACTCACAGAGACCCAGATTTCTTCAAGAGAAAGCCACATCTCCCATACTCTGCAGCAGGTACTGTGAACAGCACTTCTCTGTGTGCGATAGAGAATACCACCACGATTTACAGTTGAGGAACTAGGATTAGGAGGGATTAAATTGTTCACCCCCACTCACACAGGAAGTGAGCAGTGGGGCTCAGTGGTGAACTCACATTTTTTTCTGACTCCCCTCAGTGTCCTTACTTGAAGGCCCCCTACCTTAACAACCTGCAGCTACTCCAGTCTTGAGTTCATCCTCTGTGAACTTAGATGGTGTGACACCTCGTGGAAGATGAGAGCCTTCCTGTCTCTGGACGCACATCCTGAGGATGGTACCTTTGCTGTGCTTTCGACCACGAGGTGAGAACTCCTTCTTTACTACTTCAACCTGAGCTGGTCCATATGCTACAACTTGGATCTGGAATGTTCCGCAAAGACCCACATGTCTCTGTCCTCTATTTGTTCCCTGACAATGAGATAAGTGACGTTTTCATTATCATCACCTTCTGCCTTTATGTGCTACCACATGTCTAAAGGACAAGGGTCAACAGATCATGGACAGAAACCCCAAAACCATAACATTTTAAAAGTTGATTATCTCGGCTATTTGTTATAGTAACAAACACTGGGAAACTTGCTTTGGTAACTCAACATTAGAACATGTGACATTAAATGAAGCGTGAATATGTTTATGCGCTGAGGGTTTGCCTTCTCTTGTTACTGGAAACCTTTCCCTACCATGGAACATTCTGGAGACATGTAACTTAGCCAACAGGAAGCACTAACTAAGTGGGGGAATGGTGCCATTTTACCAACCAACAAGTGGCTGATGCTTTCATTAATTATAGTTGTATGAATGACAGAAGGAAAGCCTAGGGGAGACTGAGCAGTTGAATGCAATTACTAACAGTTTCAAGAGCTAAAACTAATTTGGGATGACTGGGTGTGTAGTAACATAGCTATAAATAGGAGGTAATGCAGTTCTTGTAGTCATAGGAGCAAAGCCACACACACACTCATGTGTGGTCATGTGTAAATGAATAGATAATTCCATTCTGGACCTCAGAGACCCACCGGCACGGTGGCTCCTTCGCTTCCAATTCTTCTCCCTTCTCACAGTTTTCTTGTTTCATACTCTGTGTGACCAGGGTCAGTGCTGAATAGGAACTGGTACAGCCTTTCTCGGGGATCCATCTTCCTCCACAGGGTCACCAAGTCCTACTTTTTGGGAGTATTCCTGCACTTTGCAAACGTTAGAGTCTCAGACATTTTAGGAATTTGCTCTCTTTTCTTCCTGCCTTTCTGTCCACCTGTTGAGTCATGGCTTCTCTGGGTCCAGGGAAGAGATAGTGGCTGTGAGAAAAAAGGGAGTCTGTGCTCCCCAGGATAGGAATGGTAGAAAGTAGAAAGGGCTGAGGAGTTTCTCTCGGAGGACATGGTTGGTTTGTACTCAATGGCAAAGATTCAGTCCCTTCAAACTATTGAGTCTGCCTTCCTTTTATTTAGTTTGGAAGAAAAGTTTGTATTTCTTCTATAAACATAGCATGGGTCCTAAAATGATTTCAGTATGATAAAAACAATATGAAGGGGGTTGGAGAGATGGCTCAGTAGCTGGAAGCACTGGGTGCTCTTGAAGAAGACCCAGGTTCGGTTCCCAGCACCCACACTGTCTATAACTCCAGTTCCATAGAATCCAGTGCCTTCTTCTGGCTTCTGCAGGCACCACACATGCATGTGGGGCATAAGCATACATGCAGGAAAAACATCCACATAAAATAAAAATCAACTAATAAAAACGCCATGAATGTTGAACAAGGGTTACCAATAAAAGAAGGAAAAAAATAAAAACAAGATAATACAAAATAAAACAAAAAGAATTGAAGTGATTAATGACATTTCCCTCAGATTGATAAATTTATTATTTTTATGATATTGTCTTATGATAGAGAGTCCAAGTAGTTTATCACAATGTAAAGTAAAAGCATACACATTTATCCGATTACTAATTGGTTTTTCAAGCTTTCTTTAAAAACAAACACAGAATTGTAGTAAAGTGTTCTTTGATGTTTTGTTGAAATCCTCCCAGGATAGTCTAGAATAGGGGATGGCAAACTTTTAGTAAAAAGCAAGACAGTAAGTAACCAGGATTCGTCTCCATACAGCTTTGTACAAGACTACTCAATTGCTATTCTAGCATGAATGTAGCTGTGGTAATGGATGAGCACAACAGTGTTTCAATAATGCTTTATTTACAGACTGGATCTGGCTCATGGGCTGAAGTGTGCCAGCCTCCCTTTGAACATGGAGATCTGTATAATGGGCAGTCCTTGTGAGTCTTCTCTAGTCCTATGTCAACCTTCCAATGATTAGCTTCCTTATAACTGTTGGTATTGGAAAGTACCTCAGGCAAACATCTGCTCCCATGCTGCAGTTTAGCAGGTGAAGCTGCAGAGGCACAGAGAATTGAGGGGACTCACAGATAATTTTGGGAAAGAGACCATTTGCATGATTTCCAGTCTGGGTATACATTTTGCCACATGTTCATCTCTGAGTGTTTCTAATAAGTTCTCCCGAGCCTTTTATGATAGCAACACCTAACATTCATGTGTCAAATTTATGAAGACAGAACATTATAGCCTCTTTCACCCCAGAACAAGTTGTATATCATAGACTCTGTCATGTGCCATGATTGTAGAGTCAACAAGTGATAGACTGAGGCACAGAGTAATGTCTGCAGACTCTGAGATGGGCACTCTGTGACATCAAGCGCTGTTGCCACGTGGATACAGTTATATCCATAGTGTTCCACCTGCACACATCTGGCAAGACATAGAACAGGTCACATCAGAGGGAAGGTGCTAACTTCCTGGTGTCTTGGTAGCTTTGATATCGAATGTGCTTCCAGATAGAGCAATAGAGACAGACACTCCTTTTAACTGCAGTCTCTGGAGGTTTGATCTGGTGCCTCTGGGCATGGCTTGGGATGAAATCTTCTAGCACTGGGATTTTAAGATTTCCTGTAAATCCCCACCAAAGTGGGGAATCTGGTATCTACAAAGAACTTTTGAACATGTGTTTTCAGAGACTCAAGAGGGTAAGGTACTTTCTGAGTAGCAGTTCCTAGGTACAGACTGACTCAGGAAGATAAGCTCGAAGCTAAGAACACATCTGCAGGCTGCCTTTCTTCTCCTGGGAGAGCAGTGGTGCACATCTGTATCCCGGAAGCCAGATAACCCGGTGTAATGCAAGGTACCTCAACATCAGGACTCCGCTGGTGGCTATTAGTCCCACCATGCCCAACCTCTTGCAAACAGCCTTCCTGGGCAGCAGTGTCTGGGCAATTCTTCCCACGCACATTCCTGGGCCCTGCTGAACCCTGCTAGTCAATCGTAGCCTGCCAAGCACATGGCAGGCAAGGAGCTGCTGAGAAAGATGGGGGGGGGGGGCTGCGGCCAGAGCCTGCTTGGCCTGCTTGGGTTTAGTATTATTTATTTTGGTGTATTCATTTAATAATGTTTGCAATGTCTACTTTGTTTTCCTTTCTTGCTTTTGGGTGGCTGGTGACGTGTCTTGCTGGCATCACATCTAATTATACTATTTTTAAATTTTCCCTTCACTCCCGATCCACTGGCAAATGTTTTTCAAAAAGTTGATGGGATTAAAAGTAAATTGACCAGATGGCTTCTTTGCACTTAATTTAGCTCAGTCCAGCAGTGCCAGATTTCTAGGGCACAGGGACCCATTATCCCCACTCTCATTTCCTAGAGCTGCCTCACTCTGCTCAGCCTTCTCTATTTATCAAATCTGGGAACGGACTTAAGGAAACGCACAGATGTTACCGAGCTAAGAGGAGACGTGAGGCTTTAGGGTTTGGCAGAGACATGCAGCAATGTACTGGGAAGCGTTCCTAAATGGTGCTAAGGGTCATCTCTTCACCCTTCAGTTCTGGTTCCTAAAGCCCAGCAGGAGGGGTAAATGGACTAGAACCACAATGTGAAAGCTGAGTTGAATGTTCTGCCCATGTTCTGATCTCTGTTAAGATTTGTTAGAGGGAGCAAGGGCTTCTCTGAGGTTTTCCCATCAGCTAACATTCCCATGTTCCTCTGAAATGCCAGGCACGAAAAGAAAACTGAGACTATTGCTATGAATAGGACCTGGAATCTTTGTCTTATCAGAATCTATGGGCTATTTTGGGAAAAATATTCAATAAAGTTAGTCTAGCTGCTAGTAAAAGTTACCCTTTTACTTCAAGACATAGTTGCATTAGCTCATTTTTACATTGCTATAATGCAGAACCTGAAGCAAACTAATTTTACAAAGAAAAGTTTACTTGGATCAAAGTTTTGGAACGAGAGGGTTCACATCTGTTGATGACATTCTTGATGGCAAAGTCCCAAGAAGACCTAGAGCATCACATGCCAAGAGACTATACAGTACATATCTATCTTGGGAATAACTGGTCCCTCTGCTATCCTCTCCCCCATTTCCTCTCCCTCCTCCTTTCCCTCCCTTCTCATTATAGAGCAACGAGAAGCTAATCATGGCACTTCCAGTGTAACTACTATACCTAATCTTAATGACCTCTCATTGCCCCTTCTATGTTTCTAACTTTTTTTTCTTTTTGAAATTTGAATTCTTCTTTTTTTGGTTCTGTTCTTTTTTGTTGTTGTTGTTTAGATTAGAAACAATATTATTTTACATATCAATCACAGTTCCCTCTCCCTCCCATCCTCCCATGCCCCCCACTGACCCCTATGCCATCCCCTTTCTGCTCCTCAGGGAGGATAAGGCCTTTTATGGGGGATCTTCAAGGTCTGTCACATCATTTGGGGCAGGGCCTAGGCATAGAACCCCTCTATGAGGAATGGGTTCACAAAGTACATTTGTATCCTAGGAATAAATACTGATCTACTACCAGAGGCCCTATAGACTGTTCAGGCCTCCTAACCGACACCCATGTTCAGGGGGCCTGGTTCAGGCCTATACTGGTTTTCCAGCTGTCAGTCTGGGGTTCATGAGCTCCCCTTTGTTCAGGACAGCTGTTTCTGTGGGTTTCTCCAGCCTGATCTTGACCCCTTTGCTCCTCGCTCCTCCCTCTCTGCAACAGAATTCCAGGAGTTTGGCTCAGTGCTTAGCTGTGGGTCTCTGCTTCTGTTTCCATCAGCTACTGGATGAAGGTTCTAGGATGTCATATAAGGTAGTCATCAATCTCATTATAGGGGAAGAGCATTTAAGGTAACCTCTCCACTATTGCTTAGATTCTTAATTGGGGTCATCTTTGTGGATCTCTGGACATTTCCCTAGTGCCAGATTTCTCTTTAAACCTATAATGGCTCCCTCTATGAAGGTGTCTCTTTTCTTGGTCTTCTCTATTCTCCCCAACTCATTCTTCCTGCTCCCTCATGTCCTCCTCTCCCCTCTTCTTCTTTCCTTCTCTTTCTCCCAACTCTTTCTTCCCTCCTTCTGTGCTCCCAACTAGCTCTGGAGATCTTGTCCATTTCCCCTTTTCTGGGTGACCATGTATGTCACTCTTAGGGTTTGTCTTGTTCCCTAGCTTCTCTGGAGGTGTGGATTGTAGGCTGGTAATCCTTTGCTCTATGTCTAATATCCATATATGAGTGAATACATGGCATGTTTGTCTTTTTGTGACTGGGTTACCTCACTCAGGATGGTTTCTTCTAGTTCCATCCATTTACCTGCAAATTTCAAGATTCCATTGGTGCCCCCCCCAGAGTAGTACTCCATTGTGTAAATGTACCACATTTTCTTTATCCATTCTTCAGTTGAGTGGCATTGCTAGATTGCTTCTAGATTCTGGCTATTACAAATAATGCTGCAATGAACATAGTTGAACAGATGTCCTTGTTATATGTATGTGCATTCTTTGGGTGCATGCCTAAGAGTGGAATTGCTGGATCTTGAGGTAGACTGATTCCTGTTTTCCTGAGGAACTACCATACTGATTTCCAAGGTGGCTGTCATGTTTCCAACTTCTTAACACAATTAACATATGTCATTAGTGATTAAGCTCCTGCATGAATTCAGGGAGTTAGGTGACTGAAGCAACAGTATTTTATAACCTACAAGCAATTGAACCGTTTGGATTTACAGTATATCTTTGAAATCTACAAACTTTTCAACACCTTATTGTTGGCAGACACCAATGGTATAGGAGCTAAGAGAAACTAAGTTGGATGTTTTTGTTTTTGCCTTTGAATATTCACAGTGTATTCACAAAAATTCCTTATAATACCATGCTATCATAAAGGTTATGGTGATTTTATGTCAACAGATATCCCACCAAGTAGGAATGATTGATCCAGTAGAGACTGCTACAGGGTTCCACTGAGGAATTGTCTCTAAGCTCCATCTCCATTTGCTACAAGGCCCTTCAACTGTGGAAGACATGGAGGATGCCACTGCTGGAGGTCCCAGAGAGTCCTTGAGAGCATGGGCCGGTTGTTAGCACTGAGAGGAGGTATGTGTGAACTCAGTGATGGTGACAGATATTCCAAGACCACTGAAGCCCGAACCACACAGCAGCTAGTCTCAAAGTCCCTGGGCCAATAGGTTTCAGTGAAGATGTCTTGGGAACGTGGTGGTACAGCTCTAAAGGCCATCTTTGAAGTACCAGTTTTTGTATTATTCTTGTGGGCATACTATTAGAGTTCACAGCTTAAGACTGGTTAACTGACATAGCAATGCCACCCTAGGATTTGTTCATTAGCATATCAAAGCCTGCTTGGCTCCTATCAGACCTGCCTTGTGGCTAGCTCTTGCAAGCTTTACATTATTCCAAGCCACATAAAATGGTTTTTAAGTTAAACAAATTGGCTTCACTTATGTTCCCAACAATTTTACACCCCCATTAGCAATAATGTAAACACTTCTGATTGTGCTATATGCTTTATATTTCTAGTTTTTTAAGGTTTTCAATTTTAACTTATATATATATATATATGTGTGTGTGTGTGTGTATGTGTATGTGTGTGTATGTATATCCTATGTGTGATGCTTAGATTTATTGTAATTTGATATGCTATGTTTTGTTGATACTCATGGGAGATCTGTCCTTTCCTAAACAGAAATGGAGGAGGAGAAGATCGGGTTGTGGGAACAGAAGAGGGTGGGGGTGGGGGGACTGGGAGGAGAGGAGGGAATAATACAACCAGGATGTACAATAAATAAATAAACTTTAAAAAAGGATTCTAACCTAACCCTGACTCTAACCCAGTCTATCCCCAAAAGACTACAAGGCTGCTACTGTCTGTCTAGCTACCTCAGGAGATGGTATAGCAAAAGACTAAGACCAGAGACCTTGAAGGAGTCAGTCAAGGACATGTGGTCCCACAGACTTGTGTGGCCTCAGTTAAGAAACTAAGCTGTTGATACAGTTCTCCACTGGATCCCAGAGAGCAATGCACAAAAGCAGCCATCTCCCCACAGTGAGGCAATGGGTTGTGCTACTTATAGAGTCTCCTGTGGACAGGGTTAGGGTAAACTCACAAGGAAAAATTCTCTCAATATGAACAAATATTGAATTTATACTTTGGTTTGGTTTTCTATTTTATTTCAGTAAGACAGAAACTTCAGATCTTAGATTTTTCCAAGGAAGATGTGGGACCTCCTTTGTGTCTGGAATGTCCTCCAAAGACCCACATGCTGAATGCTTGGTCCCCAGCCTGTGATGTTACTGGCAGATGGTAGACTCTTTTGAGGTGTGGTCTAGTGAGGAGAAATTAGGTCACAGGGGCTTGCCCTTCAAGCACACATTGGTCCACCAGCTCTTTCCTCCCTCTGTTTCCCAGCCATTGGGAAAGGAACAGAGCTCACCTACCATGTACTTCTTGCCACAGTCTCAAAGGGAGAAGCCAACTCAATCATGGACTGAAAGCCCCAACTGTGAGGAAGACTAAATCCTCCTTACTTATATTTGATTATGATGTACTTTGTCACAGTGACAGAAATATGACTATGTACCTTCTTTCTTTGACCTGGCTGTCCTAATGTCAGCATCACTTTCATCCACATACATTCATTCTTCAGATTTCTTAAGCTGAGGTCCTTCAACCCTTTCCTCTGGAAAAACACTCCTTCTCCACACTCTAGGTTTTTCCTTGGGTCTTTGATCTCAGAAAACACTAAATGGTTGAACACAGAAATTCACTGATTTTTTTTAGTTCAGAGGATTGAATGTAGGGTCCATGTAAGAAACAGGCAAAAGCTCTATATAAACTGAGTTAAACCCTCAGTTTAGATGTTTGCTGATTTTAAGTTTTTGTCCTACAAACAATTAATGAGAGCACATATGGTCCCATGAGTGACACTTGGTAATCTACCAGTTCCTCTTTAAGTGGCATGCTAGCAATTTAAAGCTAAAGTTATTGGTTTAAGAAAAGCCAGATAGTTGAATCTCATGTTGGGAAATGAGTATTTTTGTATTGGTAGAAGCTTCCTGGTTTGGTCCTTTAGGAATAGTGGGGCCACATGAATGGATTGAAGAGCAGCAGACTCTTTCCTGTTCTAAGGAGCCTAACAGCATCACACTGCAGTAACCCCCTCTTCCAATGGTTATTCTGGGTTGTCTATTTTTAATTTGGAACACTGTCGGTTATGGTTAAATTATCTTCCTTCTAGTCTTCTCTAATGTGAAGAAAGGAAACCTGAAAATGTAAGTCACCTCAAATACACACAGGGCTCAATGGTGTACACAGCTGAGGTCCCAGACATGAACTGGAAGTTCTTCGGAAATTGAGACATGAAAGTTACCTGAAGTTTCCTCTCTTCTCCCCAAGCTTAGCAAGAGGGATCTAATTCAGTCACATCAACACAATTAAGGCACTAGACAAAATGCATGAAATTATGATGCTGAAGGCATCCAGAAAATAATGGTAGAAGAGGAGATATGTAGAGGGGCCCTGCTACTGCTCAGTTCACATCTGGAAAACATTTCAAGTTACAGTGTAAGCAAAGGGAGCCCAGGGCCTGCTCACTGGAGTGGTAGAACTGGGAGTACTAGGAAGCCGATGTAGTAAGAATTTTCAATGAAGATCAAAGGAAATGAGGAGCTGGTGGAGAGAGCATTTTAGAAATCTTCAGTATCTCTGTAAGGACATTGCTGAGTACCCATTAGAGCATGCTCACAAGGAAATCCACTAACTAAAAACTCTTGTTGGAAAACAATTTCCCATCTAATGTTCATCTCTTCATTAAAGTAGTATTATGTCTTATCTTCTTCCCAACAGAGAAAAGCAGACCATCAGTAGTGTGTTATGAAATATCACCCGTCTAAGTTGAAAGCATGAGAGTTCATTGATACAGTGAGATCTTTACAATGCCCTCTCTTTTGTGGCCATATTATTCTTTGTCCAGTTTCTTCAAAGTAACAGTGTCACAACCATCAGTGTTATCTGGGATTTCCCTTTTTGTCTGTATTTGTTTATTGTGTGCAGTTCTATATGATTTTATCACATGTGTAGGAAACAGCCACCATCATCATAGTCAATAGCTGGAACTCTCCCATCACCGCAAGATTCTCTGCTTCCCTTTAAATAACTACATCTGCTTCCTCATAATCCTACCCCAACCCTCAGTAATCACTAATCTTGCCTCTCCTTCTGTGATTTCATCATTTCAAGAGTGTTATGGAATAAGATGATATGTGATATTTTTGATGGACTTTATCCATATCACAGTTCTCTTGTTAACTGTCCAACTCAAATATATAAATAGTCCATTACTTTCACTCATTGAGGGCATTCCAGTTGTTTCCAGTTATGGGTTGAATAGTTAAGTACCTTTGGGTTTGGTATAATTGAGTACTGTTAATGGGATGGCTTAGAAACAACAGATATATTTCACAGTTCTAGAAGCTAAGAAGTCCTCAAGGCATGAGCAGATTTGGTGTCTGGTGAGGGTTGTCTTTCTGGTTCATGTATAGCCATTTTCTTGCTGTATCTTCATATGGTGGAAAACATGAAGGACCTCCTTTGTGTCTTTTTCCTAATGGCACAGATTCTGTTTATGAAGGTTATGTCCTTATGGTCTAATCACACCCTGATGATCCTACTTCCTAATACTATTACCATAGAGATTAGAATTTCAAAATATGAATATTTATAAGCAATAAAAATTCAGATAATCAAACTCTTGCTATTTGCTGATAATATGATAGTTTACATGAGTGACCCCAAAAATTCTACCAGAGAACTTCCACAACTGATATATTCAGTAATGTAGCAGGTTACAAAATTAACTAGAAAAATCAGTATCTGTCCTATATACAGACGATAAATGTACCGAGAAAGAAATCAGAAAAACATCATCCTTTACAATAGCCACAAATAAACATAAAGTATCTTGGGGTAACTCTAACAGAACAGGTGAACGACCTGCATGACAGGAACTTCAAGTGTTTAAAGAAGGAAATTAAAGAAGATATCAGAAAATGGAAAGATTCCCCCATGCTCTTGGATAGGTAGGATCAAAATAGTAAAAATGGCAATCCTACCAAAAGTAATCTACAGATTCAATGCAGTCACTATCAAAATCCCAGCACAATTCTTTCACAGAACAATACTCAACTTCATATGGAAAAACAAACAAAAAACAAAACCCAAGAGAGCCAAAGCAATCCTGTACAATAAAGGATCATCTGGGGGCTCACCATCCCTGACTTCAAGCTCTTCTATAGAGCTATAGTAATGAAAATAGACAGGTGGACCAACTGAATAGAAGACCCCGATATCAACCCACATACCTATGAACACCTAATTTTTTGACAAGTAAGCTAAAAATGTGAAATGGAAAAAAGAAAATAAATTCAACAAATGATGCTTGTATAACTAGCTATCAACATGTAGAAGAATGCAAATAGATCCATATTTATCACCATTCACAAAATTCAAGTCAAAATGGATCAAAGACCTCAATATAATTTCTTCCACACTGAACCTTATAAAAGAGAAAGTGGGAAATACACTTGAATGCATAGGCACAGAAGACTACTTCCTAAATAAAACACCAATGGCACAGACACTGAGAGCAACAATTAATAAATGGAACCTCCTGAAACTGAGAAGCTTCTGTAAAGCAAAGAACACGGCCAATTAGACAACATGGCTCTCTACAGAATGGGAAAAAATCTTCACCAACCCCACATCTGACAGAGGGCTGATCTCCAAAATATACAAAGAACTCAAGAAACTAGACACCAAACTACCAAATCATCCCATTAAAAATGGGGTATAGATCTAAACAGAGAATTCTCAACAGAACAATCCCAAGTGGCAGAAAGACACTTAAGGAAATGCTCAACATCCATAGTCATCACGGAAATGCAAATCAAAACCATTCTGAGATTCCATCTTACACTGATCAGAATGGCTAAGATCAAAAACACTAATGACAGCTTGTGCTGGAGAAAGGGGAACGCTCCTCCATTGCTGGTGGTAGTGTAAACATGTACTTCCATTGTGGAAATCAGTATGACAATTTCTCAGAAAATTAGGGACTAAACTACCTCAAGACCCTGCAATACCATTTTGGGGCATATACCCAAAGGAGGCACATTCATGCCACAAGGACATTTGCCCAACTATTTTCATAGCAACATTTTTCAAAATAGCAAGATCTCAGAAACAATCTTGATGCCCCTCAACTGAAGGATGGATAAAGAAAATGTGGTATATTTACACAATGGAGTACTACTCAGAGGTAAGAAATGACATCCTAAAATTTGCAGGCAAATGGACAGAACTAGAAAAAACCATCCTGAGTTAGGTAATCCCACGCCAGAAAGAGAAATATAGTGTGTACTCACTCATAAGTGGATACTAGACATAAAGCAAAAGATATCCAGCCTACAATCCACAAGCCCA